GACCCCAACCTCCAGCCTCTCCGGTTGATATTCTGGGCTCTCTCAATAAAAACATCCTCCCCTCTGTCATGAACCTTGGAGTGACCTTCAATAGCGCTTTTAAATTTGATAAGCAGGTCAGTACCGTAGTCAAAACCTGCTTTTTTTAAATACGACTATTGGCCAAGACCAAGCCGTTTTTATCTTTTAAAGACCTAGAAAGGGTTATTAACGCCTTTGTAACCACAAGGCTGGATTATTGCAACGCTCTATACGTGGGTATGGACCAGGCGTCAATTAGACGCCTGCAGCTAGTGCAGAACGCAGCTGCGCGTCTTCTCACTGGCCACAAAAAGCGTGACCACATCACCCCAATTCTGGCCTCATTGCACTGGCTTCCAATTAGGTTCGGAATTGATTTTAAACTCCTTTTATTTGTTTTTAAGCACTAAATGGGCTTGCTCCGGCCTATATAGCAGAACTCCTCCATCGCTACACCCCAGCCAGAGCACTAAGGTCGGCTGACCAGCTGCTGCTGGTAGTGCCCAAGACCAGGCTAAAAACCCGAGGTCACCGAGCCTTCGCAGCAGCTGGCCCTAGGCTCTGGAACACTCTGCCCCTCCATGTGAGGTCGGCCCAGACCCTAGGGGTTTTTAAATCAACACTAAAAACTCACTTCTTCTCCCTGGCCTTCTAGTCAGAGCTGAGCACGACACATGACATTTCCCTGTATTTGATTTTATATTTGCTGTTGTAATTGATTGTCTTCTGTTTGCGATTGTAGTAATGTGTTATTTATTATTTGCATGTACAGTAGAGATGAGCGAGTCCTGATTCATCCGGATCATTAACCCGGATCCTAGAAATGAGCTGGTCATGACGAGTCTCCCCTCTCCATTAACCCGAGTCCTTGAGTCCCACACTTGGTGTGACGTACAAATTAAAACTATAAATTGCGTCACTCGCTACTCTCTTTATAACATGTAAAATCACTTTACAACGTACCCCAAGTCCATCTACCTACCCTTTAGCAAGTATACAGTCACAGGATAGCTGCCAGAAGTGATCGTTTGGCTCAGGGGAGGGGACGCGGATCAGTGAAACTTCCTGCAGACTCGTGGGGACTCAGAGGAGCCGACGGCTCCAACAGCAGACTCGCAGATTCGCAAATCCTGACTCGCTGCAACACACAGCGGATCAGACTCGTGCGGACTCGGAGCCGTAACCGTATAGCAGCAGATCCAGAGATCCAGCAGACTCGTCCGTCATGCACGAGTCCACAGCAGACTCGGATTCGCAAATCCTGACTCACTGTGTGTGCAACACACAGCAGAGCAGACTCGTGCGGACTCGGAGCCGTATATAGCAGCAGATCCAGAGATCCAGCAGACTCGTCCTCATGCACGAGTCAACAGCAGACTCAGATTTGCCAAATCGCAAAATAACCCTTTTTTTTGTGATCAACATTTTTTATTAAAGCAAAATACACTGTGTAGCGGAGGTTAATATAACGTCAGTTTAATAGATAGATAGATAGTACTTTATTGATCCCAAATTGGGAAATTGTTGTTGTTACAGCAGCATAAGCCATTTTACAATAAAACAAAACTACAAAATATACAAGAATAGAAATAAAAATAAAATAAAATATAAAATATAAAATATACATGTCGAAATAGAAAATATACATGCAGATATTATATATATATATATACACAAATATATATATATATATTCAAAATATATGGAATAATAATATGCTCGTGAAATGCAACAACTTTTCGGTTTCACCAATAGGATTTCTACGGTCTTGGTGATGCTGACTCATATGACTCAAATGACTCGTATGATCCGGATCTCTTCAATGACTGACTCAGAAGACCCTGAGTCCGTAAAATGATCCGGATTTGCCATCTCTAATGTACAGCACTTTGGCTCGACCAAAAATCGTTTTTAAAATGTGCTATATAAATAAAACCTGATTTGAATAGAATCAAACATAATTAAAACATAAGTATCATTTAAAACGGTATTTTATTTACGTACATTTATAAGGATGGCATTTTTTAAGGATGGTTTAGATACCAGTACAATTCCATGATTCTCTACACAGCGGATCCTAATTACTTCAATATACACTCCTTTATCTCGTTTGCATACTGTCTAATATCTACTTTATGTTGTAGTAAAACATCTCCTTAATACAACTGTATTTATTGATATTTCTCGCTAAAGACTGCATTTTATTGTACTACATTGAACACATCTTGCTGACGTTATAAATGCATCTTCGCCCAATACACACTTTTACTGAATTGCGCCTGAATGCACCTTAACCGAAGTCAATGGCACCTCCAAGCTAACGTTAACTCTCCTGTAGATTCAAACATGGATATAAAGTAGTAGGCAATAGTTTTAGCGGAGGTATTTTACCGCACAACATGCTCGGCAGCAGAGCCTCTGAGCCCCGCGGTCGCATGGCGGTGCCTGGCCAACGCTTAGAGCGGCACAGGGGAACAGTTTGCGGAGTTGATTCTTAATACGTACTCTTAAAGGTGGGGTAGGTAATTTTGAAGAGACCAGCTTGAGTGCGCTAGAATTTGAAAATACACAGCCGGAACAAATCTGCCACTTCCTTACAGAGCCCCTCCTCCAACACACACGAACGCACACATGACCAATGAGGGCACGAGATAAGTTTGTGCACAGATGGAAGGCTGACAGGCAGGTAGGCCATCCAGTTATTTTAGCCGCGCCGGCTCAGATGATTGGTCGTGCTTTTTACAGCGCCACAGCTTCCACAGATGAAATTTTGTTATGGATTTTTTGTCAAAGCACTTAAGATATTCATTGCTATCGGGATGTTAAGAGCATTCCATGGAATATATCAAAAAGTGTATCTCGAGCCGGTTTCTCAAACTTACCTACCCCACCTTTAAGTTAACCACTTTTTTAACTTTAACAACAGTAATGGCGCTGGCATGCATTAAAATGTCGATGTTCCGTTCGAAACAGTGAATACAAGAAAAGTAAATAACACTTGCTAGTTAAAAATAAGTAATTAATAACTCAGGTGGTATGCTTACTTGTTTTACGATGATTTGAAGTAGTTCAGAAGCAAGCACATGTTCAGCTGCCGAAGAATCGCTGTAAAGAGGAACAGGAAGTCTCACACAGCGGTATTCTCGTTTGAGGGCGTGTCATGACCGTGGCGTTGACAAAAGCATTTTTATGAAGTTTTCCAAAGCGTATTTATAAGAAAGTTCAGAAAATGTGACTTCATTTATAAATTAATGAATTCTTAAAACATGTTCTCATTGTTACTTAAATGTTACTTATTTAAACGCACACTGAAAACAAATTAACTTGGGGCAAGTAAATTACATTAGAAAATAGAGTTTTATTGACTTCACCATCCTCCGAGTCCAGTGATATGGAAATTCAACTTTGCAGTGGTTACACATAACTCTGGTTCTATCAACTCCGCTGCCTGAAACAGATACAAAATGTCCCATGTTAGAGTTTGGTACCGTTCTCCATGTTTCTGTCCCCGCCACTTATTTTCATGCTTCACGTAGGTACCTGTGAGCACTGCAGCAGTCTAAGGCCCGCCCAAAATACTCTCATTGGTTGGGACGCGATAATAACACGTTAACTTGCCCAGCCCTACTATTCATTCATTCATTCTGCTGCTCTGTACAAGAAGGGACAGAGCAGACTCTTTCTGCTGAGGAGACTGAGGTCTTTCGGGGTGCAGGGGGCACTCCTTCAGACATTTTATGACTCTGTTGTGGCATCAGCCATTTTCTCTGGTGTGGCCTGCTGGGGCAGCAGCATCTCGGCTGCTGACAGGAAGAGACGGAACAGACTGGTAAGGAAAGCCAGCTCTGTCCTGGGGAGACCTCAGGACACTGTGGAGGTGGTGGGAGCCAGGAGAATGGCAGCCAAGCTGTCCTCCCTGCTGGACAATGTGTCCCACCCCCTCCAGGACACCCTCTCCTCACTGTGCAGCTCCTTCAGCGACAGGCTGCTGCACCCCCGCTGTCTCACGGAGAGATACCGCAGGTCCTTCCTTCCTGCAGCGGTCAGACTATACAATAATAACTGTGCAATATATACCTGGCTGCTAAATCCTAAGAACTGTTAAAGGATGTATTTTGTAAATTGTGTAACTTTTATTATTTTTTTATTATATTAAAAAATCTTATTTTAATTTATTTGTACTTTAATACTTTTTAATGCATGTAATATATGTAACATTAAGCTGTCTGTGGCTCTTTTTCTACTGTAACAACGTACATTTCCCCTCTGTGGGACTAATGAAGGTATTCTGATTCTGATTTTAATGTTCCCCGTTTTAAATGTATTTATAAATGTATTTATAAATGATTTATTCATTGTTAAATGTATGTATTTATTTTTTCATCTTGAGACAGAAAATCAAATAGGTAAAAAGAAAATACAAAATTACATTTTGGGTGTATTCAGATTGCGAGTTCCCTCTTCTATCATCATTTATAGAAGTGCAACCTTAAACATGTACAGCAGTAAAATGCAACATTGACAATAATCAAGAAACCTCATAAATAAAACACTGACAGGGAACATTTTATTGCAGTATCATTACTTTTACATAAGAACGTGTTGTATATTTTTCTGAGAATACTTGCATACTTTTACTTAAATAAGGTTTAAATGCAGAATGTTGAATTTGTAACAGAGTATTACCATTCTATAGGCGTAGTGTAGCTGTGAACTATCCCAAATACAATTCATTGTTTACATTGCAGCTAGTGCTAAACCAGAAGAAAAACCCCTTTTTCATTTTTAACTGGAAGTGGAAAGGGCTGGGCTACATGAGGTGAATTGAGCCAACAAAAATACACAATAGGCGGGACTAAGAAAGATAATATGAAAGTATAAAAACAAAGGCATTAATTAGGGCTGCAAAATGTCTCCCAGATTGTTAAATGCTAACACTTGACAGTTTTTTCTGACTGTGTGTTTCCTGTTTCCTGCAGACGTCCAGCAGCTGGTGGTGGTTAAAGAAGAGCTTCTCCCTAACCAGCAGGAGTGGAGCACCCCCCCACACATTAAGCAGCAACAGGAGGAACTCAGGATCAGTCAGGAGGGAGAGCAGCTTCAGGACCAGGAGGAGGCTGAGATCACCAAGTCCACTTTCACTCCTGACCCTGTGAAGAGTAAAGATGATAAAAAGAAACCTCAGTCCCCACAGCCTCATCAAAGACGAACTGAACACATGGAAACAGAAGCTGATGGAGATGACTGCCGAGGACCAGAACCAGCCAGGAACTCAGATCCAGAGAGCAGTTTACAACCAAAGACTGGAGACTCTTCTGAAACTGACGCTGAAGACTCTTCTGAACCTGACACTGAACACTCTTCTGAACCTGACAGTGAACACAGTGATTGGGAAGAGACCAGAAAACCTGCGTCGGGCTCAAACTCACAGAAAAATAGATGGAAATCTGTCAGTGATTCAAGCCGTAGTGCTGAAAAGAAACGATTCAGCTGCTCAGTCTGTACCAAATCTTTTGCATTGAGTAGAAGTTTAAATAAACACATTAGAGTCCACACAGGAATAAAACCATTCAGCTGCTCAGTCTGTAAGAAACCATTTGAAGTGAGAAGAGATTTAAATCGACACATGAGAATCCACACAGGAGAGAAACCCTTTGGCTGCTCAGTTTGTACCAAATCTTTTGCATTGATTATAAGTTTAAAGGAACACATGGCAATCCACACAGGAGAGAAACCACACAGCTGCTCAGTCTGTAAGAAAGCTTTTGCAGTGAAAAGAGATTTAAATCGACACCTGAGAACCCACACAGGAGAGAAACCCTTTAGCTGCTCAGCTTGTAGCAAATCTTTTTCACAGAGTGGAAGTTTAAAGGCACACATCAGAGTCCACACAGGAGAGGAAAAATACAGCTGTAATGTTTGTGACAAAAAATTTAAATGGCATAATCATTTCAAAACACACAAGTGTGTTGGTCGTCAGCTGCTTCCGTAACTGTAACGGACCGTCTCCACAGCAGCGTTAAAAAAATCTTGGAGGTGGGCGTATCTGAGGCTTGGGGATTTTTTTGCGATCAACCAATCACATGAATCTCCCGCCCGCGACATACGAAGCCAAAAAGCCCGAAGTAAACTGGATATAAACTCCCCAAAACAGGCGAAAACATACCACTGTCTCTGCCACCTCCCTCCATGCCTGGCTCCTCCGGTTTATATCCCGGTAGGTCTGGTCATAAAGCACCGGGTGATTGATTCGCTACCGCTAATTTCTCCTCCATTTTTTGGAATATGAGGAAATGATCTGCGGTATGTCTCTCCCAGCATACACGCCGTTTGATTGGCTAGAGCTTGAACTGCCAGATTTGCGTACACAGGATTTGATTGGCTGCCGCTTCCACCTCAGCTTCAAAAGTTGAACATTGTTCAACTTTGAATCTTGAAAATCCTGAGAATCTCCGCTCGCCTGCCCACAATGCATTTCGGCGAAAAGTGAGGGAAAGTGACGTCACCCCATTCAAAGTGAATGGGCAGAAGCGTTTCAAGATTTTTTAACGCTGCTGTGGAGACGGTCCGTAAGGGAATACATTTGCCTATTTTGTATCCTGATGACCTAATGCCGTTACATGTAATACGGTACTCCCTAAGCCTGATTTCACCCACCTGCAACCGATTTGCTAATAATCACAAATGTTAATTTCTTCGACTCCTTGAATCGAGTATTTCTTGTTTAATAATCGTTACATCTCCTCAGGACCAAGTTCCTGTGTCCTGCCTTTCACCTGCTGATCACCCATTGCTCATTTAAGGTGGACTGACCTTTACAATGGTCCAGCTAGTCTTAGTTTCTTAATGCAAACGTTTTGTAAAGTGATGCAAAACGTGTTGTGTGCTCTCTGCAGGACGGTGTCTGTACTCAAAGATTGTTTATGAAATGAGAGCTTCACTCTGTTTTTGTTGTCCAAACAACGCCAACAGAGCGATACCTCTTCTTTCCAACAGATGGCATAAATGTTACATCATCCAGTTCAACTGTCATCCACATATTAATGATTCAAAACAGCAATGTGTGTATGGCTAGTAATTGACTTTTTCAACAGAATATGCAAAGGTTACAGTCTTGAGGCCATGTCCAATATGTTTATGTTTTGTTTGATTAAGGGAGGTGTGTGGCGCAGTGGGTAGAGCCTTGGTGTTGGGATCAACACAGGTTCAAACCCCACTGCAGTCAGCATGTCGTTGTGTCCCTGAGCAAGACACTTCACCCCAAATTGCTCCTGGGGGGATTGCCCACAGTATTGAGTATGTAAGTCGCTCTGGATAAAAGCGTCTAACAAGTAACATGTAATGTAATGTAATGTAATTAAATATACTGAAATGAGCATTCATTGACTAAATTATTCTTAATTACTGTCATTACATCATGGGTTTGCATTGCAATATTAGAAGAAATAAAGTTGGGTGCGTTCTAAGTTGCGGGAGTTCATTGTTTAGAAGTCCGCTGTGTTTCATCCAAGCTTCCACTTCGTGCTCCAATAAAGTATCTGTTGTATGCTTTACCTGCTCCAGTAACAAAAGTGTAATTCACTGCACAGAGACAAGAGATAGTGATGGATCCAGAAAAGAACCAGAAGATAGTCCGTATAGAGCCTTCAGGTTCTGAAAATTATCAGGTATAGAGCTAAAAAAAAACATGAATAGAGCTAGAAGCCAGTACAAAGCCAAGAAAGAACCAGTAGAAAGACAGGAAGGAGCCAAAAGAGTTTATATTTGTTATCTTTTAATATGCAAGCTCTTCTCTTAAGATATTAAAACTTCCTATCTCAACATGTATCCTTTTATTCCAATTACAAAAACCTTACATTTTTGCTGCCAATTATTGAGATTGTTTCACAGCTTTTATCTTAAAATATTTAGTATTTTTTCTTTACATATACATTACATAGGATGAACAGCACGATCCACTCTGCTGGATTCTGCCCAAATCTGCTCAAAATGCATGCAAACATCTCGCTTTATCCATACTCCTGCAGTTGTATTGCTATTGTTCATAGTGAAGTTTATTAGATGTTCTGAACTGTTATTGTTATTCAATTCAATTCAATTCAAGTTTATTTATATAGCCCAAAATCACAAATCCTATTTGTCTCAAGTCAACAAACTAAATTGGCAATGTAAAACAATGTAAAAACAACAACTGTACGCTGTACTAAAGAGGAAAGTCTTTAACCTACTCTTAAATGTGTGGACACTGTCTGCCTCCCTAATCGTCACTGGAAGTTGATTCCAGAGGAACGGGGCTTGGTAGCCGAAAGCTCTAGCACCTGAGGACTCTGGGAACCACCAACAGACCTGCACTCTGGGATCTTAATGCCCTTGAGGGGCAATAGGAGATTAAAAGATCCTGTCGGTAGGATGGTCCCTGACCATTGAGCGCTTTGTATGTGGGTAAAAGTATTTTAAAATCTATCCTGGACTTAACTGGTAGCCAGTGCAATGCTGCTAAAACAGGAGTGATGTGGTCCATCTTCTTTGTTCCTGTTAAAACCCGTGCTGCAGCATTTTGTATGAATTGAAGGGTCTTTAATGATGAGTTTGGACAGCCTGATAAAAGGGAATTGTAATAATCCAGCCTGGAGGTGATAAAAGCATGGATTAGTGTTTCTGCATTGTTGCGATTTAGAATGTGCCTGATTTTTGCAATATTCCGTAGATGGAAGTAGGCAGTCCTTGAAATGTGCTTTATATGGGATTTAAAAGACAAATCCTCGTCAAAAATAACATGATGTATTATGTATTTAATATAAAGTGAAATACCCGTACAAAAAAGTCAGAAAAGAAAAGGGACTCACTTAAGGAAAAAGGTTCTGAACCAGTGAGAGTTCTTCATTTGGTAAGAAAGCAGCTAAAACGCAGGAGTTTATTTTAATACCTTTGTCTGTTTGGGTCTGTAGATTTCTCCTGAATTCACCAACAGTTAGGATCACATGAAGCTTAATTTGCATATTTAGACATGAAACGTCAGAAAACTTGTAAAACCTTGATTTGAGTATGCAAACAAAACAAAACAATAATTTTTAACCTGGATTTACCAAATGTTCACAATTCTGTTCTGGAATACTCCATAATTAAAACATATTTGATAAGAAAATGCCTAATTTGCACATTTAAACATAATATTTCATAAAAGTTGTAATACAACAATGAATTGTCTTAATGTCAGTAATGAAGTGAGTAAGTTTCATAGTGATATCTATTAGTTAAATATTTTACCCTATTCACATGTAGTGTCCCTGTCATGACCCCTATATTTATATTAAAGTCCCCACACGAAACCTCTAATATTTGGGCAGGAGCTCCAACAAGCCGTTTAGGACAGAGAGTGAATACACATACTATACTGAGATGCTGTATGAGAAACCAATGAGACTTTCGAAAATTGCACAATATAAATCTATTTTAGTAGACCTCAACAATGGAATTATGATCAGTAGAAATGGCCATGACATGGGACCTTTAGTACATTTTAAAATGGCCTGTATAACCAAGCCTAATACGTTGTATACTCTTTGAAGTCAACAGGAAAAAATGGGAATTACTAATTTGTGTTCCGTGAGCTTCATCTTTCAACGTCTTTGTACTGTTTATAACACACTACAGGAAAGGGAACACACTAAAAAACACAATAGGGCCCCTTTAATATTTGGTTTAATTGTTATTTTCACTGTCTATGTATTTTGAACATATTTAAAATGTATTTCAGGACATTTCTATACCCTGTATAACCGGGACTTGCATGCCACACATGGTGTATCCTAAAAATAAAATGAGACTGACTATAATTTATATTAAACGTGAGCTTCTACGTGTTATCTGCACATTATTCAGTGAGAGGAGATCAAAGGTGAACCTCTCACCTGCCTCCTCCTGCAGCAAGTCTCCGAGAGCCCCCCCCCTGCCGGCGCTGACTCGGCAGAAATCCACTATCTGCTTGAACTTTGGAGCGAGGTAGGACTCCTGAGGGGGGGGGGGGGGGGGGGTGTTTCAGCGATGTGTTCCTGTATGCACACATTCATTGCATGGCTAAGTTAGATACTCGATTCTGATTGGTCATTTCGGACAGTCCAGAGGTTGTTAATTTTAGCTAGTAGACCGTTGCTAAGGAGAGCAGACCCTTGCTAAGGAGAACTCACGGCACATAATCCCTGCCTTAAAGGTCTCCTATTATACTATTTTTAGGCATACATTATAGGTCTCAGATATATACAAATATATAAAAAAACATGTCGATGAAGTGTTTTGCTCAAAATACCAAACAGATCATATATTCTAGCCTCAAACCCCTCTATTTCAGCCCTGTTACTAAAGTGCTGATTCTGGGTCCGTAGCTTAATACTCAGCTAAATGCTGCCGTGATTAAACACCATATCATGTTCAAAACCACATCAAGCATTATTTCTGAAACAGTATGGAGCTCAAATGCTTTTTCTCTCTCAGGTTATTTCCTGCTTCTTTACACATACTCTCTCCAGTACAGGTTAGCTCTGAGTGTTAGCGATGCTTGCTAATGTAAACAAAGACCATAATACGTCCAAAACACGTTGTGCATTGTTTCTGATAGCGAGGTTTCTGATAGGGCCGTGGGTCTAAAGCAGGGGTGGGGAACCTTTTTCCTCTCAAGGGCCATTTCCATTTTTTCAACATCCTCTGAGGGCCATACAAATTAATGACCTCTGCTTAAAAATACTAAAATCACAGCCCATTAATTTCGCCTTTCTTTCATGCTGTGCAAAGAAAAAGCAACCTCTTAATCCAGATATCTTACCATGACTCGCGCATGCATTCACGTGCACGGTTGTGGCATGACCACCAAAACAGAAAGATATTGGACACAAGA